ATTGTTGGCTATTGCTACAAATATACCCCAGCGACTTAAGACTGCTTTTGTGCTCCAGAGTCACATATATGCTTTATCGTTTAAAAAAAAAAAACGTAAAAAAAAATATATATATATATATATATTTTTGATAGACCTTTGTGGTCTTTTCGGTGTGCGGACAACAAGTCTTTCCACCCTTGAGATATTCACCCAATATCCCACCGAACCGTTTCACCGTTTGTATCACTCCATTTGCGGTATTTCTCACAGCGACTGTCAAAGCGGATGCCCAAATCCACTATAATTGTAAAAATAACACTGTTTGTGTGTCAGAATGTAGTTTTAAGAGTTTAGGCGAGTATGTACTTACTTAGACTTCAAGGGCCAGATTTACTAACAGCTTGCGCCAGCGCAAACCGTCTTTTGGCGTTAAATTAATACTGTCAGGATTTAGTAAAGACACGCAGTGACGAATTAGCGCTGAAAAGGCGTGGACAGTTATTTTTGCGCCTGACCTTATTCAATATGCATTTGTAGGAGTTTCCCTTTCAGAGGCAAAATTTATGGGAGGTAATTAAAATTATGAGTATACTAACTAACTAACTACTTACGTTTGCTCTCATCAAATTACTGGTAGGCTATTTGCGCCATTATTTAATGCCCAAAAAAAGCATGTCTTAATGCAGATGCTAAATTGCGCTGCACTTGGTAGACTGTGTTGGTCATTATGGTAATGATCTGGCTGTGTCTTTGCGCATTGTCAGTAAATCCCACAGAAATGTACACTCCCATCGGCGCTGTTTTGCCCTGTTTAGTAAATCTGGCCCTAAATCACTGCAGATGGTCCCATGTGTGATGCCATACATGGTCTTCCGTCGACAGGAGATCTGTAATACCTAAAGAGAGCTGTGAGGTATTATTCACATTCATCTCAATGGCAGTTGCTCTGCTGACACATGATGCATGAGTGTGTGGGCACTGAGTATGCAGGGTTTTTAAAACCCTCCTGTTGTTCCAGAGAGGTCATTTTGACCCAGAGAGGATATTCTTTCTCCCGAAAATGTTAGTTAATGCAATCGCATTGGACTAAGATTTACTGACTTTGTTCACACAGGGTATAACTACTTCCACCACAAACATTTTTTTTATTTTATCCAACCTTGTTACCGGTCAAAAATAACTGGCCTACAAAAAATAGCTTATAAATCTCTTGTTATGCTATATTATCACCAAATATGGGATTCAATCGTTTTGTCAACGTGTTTTCTTTCAATTAGGACTGGTTTTGTATTTCTTTTTGGAACTGATTTATCGTAGGCCTCATTAATCTGAGTTTACATACCTCCGTTTTTGAGAGAAAAAAGCATTATTTGTGGATAATTTTGTCAAATGTTACATAAAATATGCACTGAATGTGAAAATGTGCTCTGTTTTTTTCACACTAGCATGCTCTAATGTTTATCTATAAAATCTGTTTTGAAATGCATATATCTTGTAAAAAATAAAAAAAATAGCACAAAAGATCACTTGTGGTGTTCCCGGTCAAAAATGACTGGCCTACATAAAATAGCTTATAAATCTCTTGTTGTGCTATATTATCACCTAATATTGTCAATTAGTTTTCTTTCAATTGACTGGTTTTGTATTACATTTTTATACTGACTGATTGTAGGCCTTATTGATCGGAAATCTGAGAAATATTTAGTGTTCAGAAGCATGTTGATCATGTTCATGTTCACATGTATTTGTGCCTGCGAATACACTGCTCAAAAACATTAAGGGAACACTTAAATCACACATTGGATCTCACTGAATGAAATATTCAACTTGAAAATCTTTATTTATATACATTCTATATGTGACAACAGTTAAATCATCAACACACTGAGGGCTGGATTCAAAATCACACCAAAAATCAATGTAAAGAACTAAAGTTACAGGCTGATCCAACTTGCATGAAGTTCATCACAGCAACTATTGGATGCTCCGATGCATAATATCCAATTTGATTCAAGTGAGGGCCAGTCAATGGCATCAATGCCAGTGTCATCTAAAAACTGCACACTCTAGCCACTGAGGCCAGGCATTATTATGCACCAGGAGGAACCCAGGGCCCACTGCACCAGCGTAAGGTCTGACAGAGGCTCTGAGGATTTCATCCCGGTACCTAACAGCAGTAAAGGAACCATTGGCTTTTCATATTTCATTTAATATTGATAAAATTATCCACAAATAATGCTTTTTTCATTCAAAAACTGAGGTACATAAGCTCAGATTAATGAGGCCTACGATAAATCAGTTCCAAAAATAAATGCAAATCCAGTCCTAATTGAAAGAAAACAAGTTACCAAAAAGATTGACACCAGTATTTGGTGATAATATAGCATAACAAGTGATTTACAAGCAATTTTAAAAGGCCGGCCATTTTTGACCGGGAACACCACAAGTGTTATAGGGATTTGAACACAACCTGAGGGTTTTAATGCAGTTATCTGAGCCATAAATGCTTGATTGTTAATTTCAGTGTTTGCATTCTAGGATACACGTCTGTCTCAAGTTCACACAAGTCACCTCCTACCAATAACAGCTTGCGCCAGCGCAAACCGTCTTTTGGCGTTAAATTAATACTGTCAGGATTTAGTAAAGACACGCAGTGACGAATTAGCGCTGAAAAGGCGTGGACAGTTATTTTTGCGCCTGACCTTATTCAATATGCATTTGTAGGAGTTTCCCTTTCAGACGCAAAATTTATGGGAGGAGAGAATTAAAATGAATCACGCAACATGATTTACTAACATTTGCGCTCATCAAATTAGTGATGTTTGCGCCATTATTTAACGCCCTCCAAAAAAGCATGTCTTAAACTATTTTGCGCCTGTGTCGTAAGTACATCACCCACACCTGATGAATTGCACTGGTCGATATGTAAATGAGATGTTGTGTCGGTGTTCTTTAATTTGTCTGTTGTCAGTAAATCACCACAGAAATTTCTACGCCCATCGGCGCTGTTTTGAAATTGTGCTCTAATGCTAATTTGCCCTGTTTAGTAAATCTGGCCCCAAATACACAGTTTGTTAATAAAGATAACATCTATTTGAAAAAATTTTGACGTTTTCAGAGATGTGAGCTCCAGAGCATCAGCGGCCGTTCAGCGCTCATGAACCCACCGAGAGCAGCCTCACCTCGGCCAGATCTTCTGGAATTTACCGCTGGCTCTGATGTCTCTATAGTGGTTAAACATGATATATATTTCGTTTTGGGTAAATCTAACATGCAGTCTTTGGTCTCATTAATCTATTATTTGTTCCAGAGCAAATAGTTTTGGCAAAATCTCACCATGTTTATGTAGCTTCAATGCTGTGTATCAGAGTGCTGCCTTTGTACTTTTTTGACTGAATTGCCTAGCAACTTATAATAGCTATTGTTTGTTAAAATGATTCTTCAACAAATATATAAATAATAGTAGTATTCAATAATAATATTTATTATTGGGAAACGTTCTGTGTGTTCATGATGGTGATTTTAGTTACATTGTTCTGCCATTAGATGGCAACAAGAGACTGTTTTTACAAGTCAACATTAAATACTTTTATATTGAAAAGACTGAAATGCAAGGAAGTCATTTTTACTTTCAACAACAGCTTGTAAGCCACAACCAACAAATGCACAGATCAGCTCTGTCATCAGAAATCACCCTTAACAGATGAAAGGATAGTGCGACAAAGATATCGCTTTCCTCAGCAGACATTCAAACTAATGTTTTATTGTGAATATGAGATTGAGCTGAAGAATGAATGCTGTTCACACTCGCTCAGTCCATCTCTCTCTCATAATACTCAACATAATACAGTGAGCTTTTAATACAGTAATACAATAAGCTTTCAATGAAGCAACTCGACGTTCCTGAGATTTGAATCTGTGGCGGAAGGAAGTAGTTCTGCACAAAAGAGGGCTTCTAAAGACACTCTGTTGTTGTTTCTTATGTGTATATATATATATATATATATGTACACATGAAAATGAAGGAATTTATATATTTTAGAATGGATTTACATATTTTATAGTCATTTTATTGAATACATTTTAAATGTACGTTTTGTTTTATAAACAGTTTATTTAATGTAATTTAACCTTTTTTTGTTTTTAGTTTCATGAAGAATATGTCAAACTTGTTGAAAATGAATGATTTGATATATTTTATCATGGATTTACATATTTTATAGTCATTTTATTGAATACATTTTAAACACTGCTTTATAAATAGTTTTATTAATGTCATTTAAACTTGTTTTAATAATTATTATTGTTTTTAGCTTCACCAACATGTCACATGTTCTGGATGAGACTAAATCAAGGATGACGATAAATTCAAGCATGACGATGAATGATTTAAAATTGATAGTGGATTTACATATTTTATAGTCATTGTATAGTCAGATGTCATTTTGATTTCTAAGCATTGTGTTTGAATGTTTCAGGTCGTGTATCTTCTACCGGGCGTGTGCAGATATCCCTCGAGGAACGGAGCTCCTGGTTTGGTACAACGACAGCTACACGTCTTTCTTCGGGATCCCGCTGCAGTGCGTCGCACAAGATGAAAACTGTAAGAGAAACTCTTCTGCATCAATCTCATCTGAACCATTCACACGCTTATTCCCACTACAGACACACTGATGCTTCTTTGAGGAATTATAAGTGTGCTTTCCATGATTTTGTCATCTGTCGCATCAGTGACATTCAGATTCAGATGTTTGTTGTCGCATTTAGTCGCTGCTACATGAACAAATCTCATCCAGAATAGTTTTCAGTTTCAGCTTCTTCTTTTTAAGAAGTTCACGCTGGTTCTGCTCAGTTTCGGTAGTTTTGGTAAATGTATCACCTACATTACAGATGTAGATGTTCTCACAGGAGCTCCGGATAAGATAATGATTTAGAATTCTTAAATGTTCAACTAGTTAGTTTAGAAAATGTAACTACAACATGATTCAAGAAACATTTTCTTAAAAACGTATAAAACCATCTGGTTCGGTAACACTTCGGTAATAATGTATTATAAAGGTTTTCATAACGTATGTTCTAATACATTTGATCTTTTCATGCATAATTGTAACAAAAGTTAAAATGCATCATAATATTTAAAGGTGTTTGCTTGTCTTGTGTTTTAATATATTATACTTTCTAAAGGTGTAATAATGAATAGATTAGTATTATAATATATTATAGCTGAGGTTACAATAATTCATGAGATCATTATAAGGTGCATTACAAGGCATAATTAATGCATTAAAATTACTTTTATAATGCATTATACTGTATATAAAGGCTTTAAGTGAAGTGTTACTTAAATGGTGTAAATGTAAAACAAATTCACTTGTTAAATATCTTTGCAGAAAAGATGCATGATATATGATGGCAAATATTGTAAACATATCCTATATGTTCAGAAAGAATAAAAAAATAAAATAAAATAAAATTCTTAGCCAAAACATTCAGTTTTAGAGGTCGACTTTAAGTTGAGTCAATTCAAGCTCTTCCTGACTGTCAGTGTAACAGCAGTAATAGATGATTATTAACAGTGAATGAAAACAGCAGCAGCTTTCAGTCTGTCAGCATCATCAAACATCAAATATCACACATACATTATTCTGCTTTTCCATTGCTTTTTTATGTAAACATGTGCTTGACGGACACGTTTGACCGTAGCATTACGTCGCGTTTCACTCATGAAACGGCACCTAAAAGTCAAAACGTCACATGCAGATTAGTAATGTGGCAAAATAGGATGTGCTTGACTTATTAACATTTATTAGATTTATTTGTGTTTTTAAAAGCATGAAAGAGAACTCGCACTGTTTCTGTGCACGCGCTCCGACACAGAACAGTACACGGTCAAGTAAAGTGAACGTTTAGCTTAAGGTGTGTGCCTAAACGGTCAAATAAACGCAAAACTGTGTCAAAATGCGGTGCTTAGTGATCATTCACATAAACCATTGTTGGTTACATCTTAAGTGAACATAAACAGTTGAGAATGAAAATACATGTGTTACAGTAAATTGGATCCATGCAGCTCTTAAAGTGACAGCAGTCTAATATTCCTGTTTTCTGTCATTCAGGTTAATCAAACAAAAAAAGACAGAAAATCTACTCTTGACTAAATCACTTTTGTAACTTTAATAAGAAGAAATATATATTTAATTTACACTGTGAAGAATATTCCTGCTGCTGTGTGTGCTTAATATCAACCAAACAACAAAAGACAAAGAGAAAAGCACTCACCGCTGTTGACTGAAGGACGTTTGTAGCTTTAATAAGAAACAAAGCGAGTTTAATTCTTACAGTGAAGACTATTTTACATTTGATTATTCAATTTCTGTTGCAGGCGGTTAGTGGAATACTTTAGACTTGCATAAAAATGCACTCATTTAATTTCTATCTTTTTTTATTGTATTTGTCCTTTGCGTTTTGTTTTTATTGCATTACTGACTGTTTAAGTCTTTTTCTTCACTTTTTTTTTTTTTTTAACTTATATGAGTTACCTTGGTATTCTGCTGTGGTATTGAGAATTATGAAGTTTCGCTAATCTAAAATGTAGATGTCACAGCAAACTTAGGTACAGAAAATATATATTTGATCTATATTGCTATCTTTAAATAAATCACTCATATAAAGTTTTGGTCATGTGGCCCACTCATAATCATGTTAAATAATCGTGATTACAGTACTGACCATATGCAATATGCCTTGGCGATAATACGGATAACTCACATGTGCTCAGCGTGTGATAGTGATGAGATTACATCAGCAGTGTGGTCATTCTTGAAGCAATATTTTCCTGAATGATGATTAGATTCACTGTTTTGGATCGCCGCATTTAATTTGAGAATGTACATACAGAACGATTTGTCCGGTGTGCGAGAGAGACAGTTTCTAGCGCATCTGCAAATGCGTTTTATTTACTTAGGGGGCGCTGTTGGCCTACTGTAATAAAATGAAAGTAATATAATATCATTAAGATACTTGTGTTTCTGAATAAATAATGCAGTATCAATGTCATAAAATCACGAGTCTGTTTTGATTTAAAGGTCAGAAGCTATACCTTACATGAATAAAAATCACAAACATGACACTTGTAAATTAAATAATTTCATATATACAGATTTACTCAGTAATATGTAATACACTGCAAAAAAAGATTCTCTTACTTAGTGTTAGTGTCTTGTGTTCTAGTATAAATATCTAAACATTCTTGAATCAAGATGCATTTACTTGACAAGTAAAATGATTTAAGATATTAAGTCTTGTTTTTTTTTTTTTTTTTTTTTAAATCTAAATTTTGTTAGTTTTTGCTTAAAACAAGCAAAAATATCTGCCAATGGTGTAAGAAAAAAAATCTTAATTCAAAGGCTAAACAAGATGATTTTTCCTGCCCCACTGGCAGATATTTTTGCTTGTTTTAAGCAAAAACTAACAAAAGTTTTATAATTTTTTTTACAGAAAACAAGACTTGTCATTTTACTTGTACAAAAAAAATTAATCTTGATTCAATACCATTTAGATATTTATACTAGAAAACAAGACAAAAACACTAACTAAGAGAATCATTTTTTGCAGTGTGTATTTTTTCAAATGGAATATGAAAACAAACATAATGAGCTCTAAAAGATTTTTAGACTTTTTACAGCTCTTTTGCTTTAGACCATCTATTAATGTTAAATCCACAAATAAAATGTTAAGGTTTCAACTGCATCTGTCTGAGAACAAAAATACACAGCAGAAATTGATTTTATTACAGCTATATTTTCAAGGCTTTCAATGTACTCTTATTAAAAAAATTACTTTAATAAAGTTGATTACAAATAAGTTTTTGCTCAAAATCAACCAAAATTAAAAATAATTTGTTTATTATTTCTGCACAGGAGAGATTTGGTGTTGTTTCAAAACAAAGGGAAATATATATCGGTATCGGCATCGGCTATCGGCCAAAATTATTTGAAAAATATCGGCATATCGGCAAAAATCTAATATGCATCCCTAATTTGAATTAATGGATAAATCAGAAGAATCGCCCAGCTTAGTGTTCGTGTATGTTCTCCCAGCTCTGTTGCTGGAGGAGAGAGCGAGTCTGACAGTCCAGTGTTTACAGCAGACAGACTTTATGAGTTCAGTCTGCTTACTGTCGTGTTTAGACAGAGCTCTCTACAGTGTGTCATGTGATCTGAGAGATGTGCTGTTGAGAAATACTGTGAGAGAGGAGCTCTTCGCTGATCAGAAGCTGTTTTGACACTGTTTGTCTGTGGAGCTCAGGATTCATGTGTGAGTCTGAATATATGAACACTCAGATCTGCTCAGATGCACATGTAATTAGTGCAGTCAGCGGAGTCCTGAGATACCCTGGCCTGCAGAGCAGAGCTTTCATCTGTGTGTTTCTCCACGTTCAGTCTAATCTCAGGTCTGCGGCTGATGCTCAGCGGTGATCAGACGACTCCTGAAGATTCATGCTTCATGCTGCATCGAATGCGCTCGCGTTATTGAATCAGAGTGCTCTCACATGTCTCGTCTTACAGTCGGCTATTTCAGTGTTTATGTGCACAGCATGCTGTGTGATGATGAATGTGGAATGTGGTTCAGCCTTTCTGAACATAAAGTGTCTTTGAAAGCGTCTGAAGACGTTGGTTCCTCATCCAAGATCTGACTCTATGGCTGATTCTCTAATGTTGTTTAGTCATTTTTAGAATAAATAAACTTATTACATTTAATACATTTATTTTTAAAGATATACAGTTCCCTTTCAGTCAGTCACGTTCGACGTTACGTCAGCAGTAGGGTTGGGTACCGAAACCCGGTACCAATATGGCACCGGTACCTATGTAACCGGTATGTACTAGAACCGAATCAGAACGCAGATTTCGGTGCCTCATTTCGGTGCCATGCCTGAGCGATCGATTGAAATATTTGTCCTCTGGTTCTCCGAAACGGATGTAAGAAGCATCATCGCACGTGAAAAATAATTTCCCGACTGAGAAAATGCACCTGAACTCAAGTCGGAAAGCTCTAATAATACAGATCCAACACATCTTTGTAGTAACGAGAGTGTCCATGTTGTTTTCACATTCCGACTTAAAAGCACAACTCAGGAAACGAGAGCATCCGAGGAGCGCGTGAATGCAGTAATTACACTTGATCTGATGGCAGCAGGTAGCCTTCTGTTAACTAAGCTAAACATGCTTAAATTAAAATGCCTAAAGCTAAACTTCCCTTGTATTCACATTTCTAAACTTGTTGTCCAACAAAAGACAAAATTATAACCTTTTTACTCCACAACACCAGTCAAATGCTTCCTTTTGTGATCTGATGTGGCTTCTTGTCACAGAACGAGGCATAAAATATGTTCCATCGGCTACTTTAAAAAGAATACATCGATTAGCAATGGATTATAAATATACTTAATTATTATGAAAATACCAGAGATGGCTTGAATAACACAGATAAACTATATTGTCGCAGTCGAGTGTTTATTGTCTTTGTTTTATCATTCAAAATGTTTATATCTTCGGTTTACTCAGTTACAGCTATAATAGCCATGTCTTTGTCCATATAAGGGATTTCCTGGAGGGTCATGAGTTCTCTACTTCTGTGACTGGATATGTGGATTTTCTGTGCGAGGGCGCCCTCTGGCCTCCAGTATGAATGAAACAGATCATGTGTTTATAGTGCTAATGGCCAATCCATCATTTTTTGGGGAATTTTTATTTATTTATTTTTGAATAAGTATCGGTTAAGGCGCTGTTTAGGCACCAGAACCATTTTAAAAGTATAGATTTGGCACCGGTATCGAAAAAACCCCATACGATACCCAACCCTAGTCAGCAGTGACTGACGAATTGGGATCTCACCAGAGATCACCTTCGAGTGTTAACAATACGAGCTTTGCATCGCGCACCCCGCCCTGCAGCGCGGATATATAAGGAGAGCGCGTGCAGTCGCACATTCAGTTTTTTTCCGCTTCGGAGCCGATCCTTTCTGCTTGAGCAGTCACTGAAGAGAGCGTTACAGAACAATGGTTCTGCGAGTGTTGGTGTTACGGCTCGTCAGCGGGGGTTGCTGGTCCAGTGCTGCTGCTTTTTTTCAGATTTGGACGGCGTGCTGCAGATCATCGAACTGCGGTCGCAATGCGACCTCCCCTGTACGCTTCAACACTTAAATCTAAAAGAGCAAGATCTAAAAGAGCTCCACGAGTGACGTGGCGTCTTTTTAAAGATGGCCTTCCACTCGTTTGTTTCTGGATGCGGTCGCTTCCTGGCTCTGTCTGATGGTCACGATCGCTCCATCTCGTGCCTGGGCTTTGAGCATGCTGAGGCAGCGCTCGTGGATGATTCATGTTCTCATTGCGGGAACATGACCATCGCTATGTTGCGATCGAGACTCCTCTTCATGAAACAAGGGGGAGGTGTTACGGCTCGTCAGCGGGGGTTGCTGGTCCAGTGCTGCTGCTTTTTTTCAGATTTGGACGGCGTGCTGCAGATCATCGAACTGCGGTCGCAATGCGACCTCCCCTGTACGCTTCAACACTTAAATCTAAAAGAGCAAGATCTAAAAGAGCTCCACGAGTGACGTGGCGTCTTTTTAAAGATGGCCTTCCACTCGTGTGTTTCTGGATGCGGTCGCTTCCTGGCTCCATCTGATGGTCACGATCGCTGCATCTCATGCCTGGGCTTTGAGCATGCTGAGGCAGCGCTCGTGGGAGATTCATGTTCTCATTGTGAAACGAGGGGGAGTCCCTCTTGCTATGCCCCGATCAAGTTCCTCTGTCTCACAGCAGCGGAGGAGTTCTTCGGCGTATGGTCAGGGCGATCTGAGGATTACAGTGAGGGCTTCCCCGCCGAGTGCATCTCCGCAGGCCCCCTCACTCCTCCAGCACATCGCACCCTGTGGTGTTCCGTGATGAGACTGCTGAGCCCCCGGAGGCAGGGCCTAGCGTCTCGTTCGGAGCCCCGGCAGACGACAGGATGTCCATCACCGAGTGCTCCAGGCTGGATGATTGGTTCCTGGGGGTGCCGCACGCCAATCTTCGGCGTCCACCTCCGGTTCTATTCTTCCCGGTGGTGCATGAAGAGGTTACTAGGTCTTGGAGGGCACCTTTTTCTGCCCGAAACAGAGCTAGTGCCTCTTCCGTCCTTACTACCCTCGACGGCGGGCGGCTAAGGGGTATGTGGAGATCCCCCCAGTCGATGCAAAGCTCGCACGCCAACATTCATTGGCTCATTTTGTTAACACTCGAAGGTGATTGTCCTCTCTGGCGAGATCCCAATTCATCAGTCAATGCTGACATAACGTCTGCGTTCCCTCCTTCAGGGTACGAGGGTTACATATGTAACCGAGATGTTATTTATTTGCCAATTTAAGAAATTGTTCAGATTGTGTCTGTGTGACCAATTAAATTATACATGAGTGTTCAAAAGTTTGGGGTCAGTAAGATTTTTTTTAAATTTTTTTAAGAAAGTAACACTTTCATTCATCAAGGATGCAATAAATTGATCAAAAGTGACAGTAAAGACATTTATAATGATTTCTATTTCAAATAAATTTTGTTCTTTTGAACTTTCTATTTATCTGTGAATCCTGAAAAATAAAATGCATGACGGTTTCCACAAAAATATTGTGCAGCACGACCGTTTTCAACATTGATAATAATCAGAAATGTTTGTTGAGCAGCAAATCAGCATATTAGAATGATTTCTGAAGATCATGTGACACTGAAGACTGGAGTAATGATGCTGAAAATACAGCTGCGCATCACAGAAATAAATTACAGTTTAGCAGATATTCACATAGAAAACAGATATTTTAAATCACAATAATATTTCACAATTTTTACTATATTTTTGATCAAGTAAATGCAGCCTTGCTGAGCAGAAGAGACTTTTTTCAAAAACGGGGAAAAAACACTTCTGAACAGTAGTGTATATAAATGAGTGTAATTGATCAATGACTCTTTGTATAGATGGTCAGATTTTTAAATGAAATTTCACTCTAGTGTAATTTTATTATCATTGACTTACTGTTATAGTTTTTGTTCATATTTTGAATTAGATTTTTATTTGTATATTTTCTGTCATTTTGTAAAGTTTTTATTTTTTTGTAATTTTGATATGTGTTTTTTATATTTATGTATTTATTTATTTAAATATGACTATATAGTTTTTATTTATTTTATTTACTAATTTTATTGAATTTAGTTTTAGTACTTCAAGTTAAACTAAGTGAAAATAAGAAATGTTGCCTTGGCAGCTAGTCTCGCGTAGCCGGCTGAAGGTCTGGAATCCATGGCAGCTTTCATTGGTCAAGGCCCGCCCATGAGGCCATTTGACCGACATGTCAAACAACCAATCACAGTTTGTTTCGTTCAGCATCACGTTTCGGGGCATGGAAATGTCGCCACAATAACAGTACACAATACGTGTGTAAAACTCTCGGACGTATTTTCAAGATTCTATGGTGCAAACTTTAAATATTTCACATACTTTTGAATATCCAGCGTTTAGTTGATCCTGATAAGCGCTCATCGTCACAATTGTAAACACGACGGCTTTCTTCTTTCGTGAGGGGGTTTGGTGTCACGGCATCCGACGTGACGTCGGGAGTGACCGACTGAAAGGGAACTAACCTGATAACGTCGACACAATTGTAAACACGACGGCTTTCTTCTTTCGTGAGGCGGTTTGGCGTAACGGCACCTTTGTTTCCAGGCGGAACGTTAAAGAACGCGACACACACTTCTCCCGGAAATCCTGTATAATTCAACCAATCCGATGACGACTTCGAAACTCCTGAAGTGTTTCCACTTTTGTGTCCCATATGCATCAGACGTTCAGCTAACGGTCCGTGGGCGTGACGTCTGAGGCTGAGACTACTTGGCAGCTAACTGAGATAGTTGCTTTTTATAGTTAATATTTTTATAAAATATTTGATAAATAAAAAAAAATATTTTTGTAATATTTTATTTTATTTTTGTTAATATTTATATTATTTTAAGTAATAAAAATGTTATCTGTTTGAGTCAGATGTTCTGCTTGTGTTTCTGTGGCAGTAAAATATTTTATAAATTTTAAAAGTATATATATACAGTCATAAGTAGCACAGGTATATTTGTAGCAATAGCCAACAATACATTGTATGGGTCAAAATTAGTTTCACAATTTGAGTTGAATTACTGAAATAAATGAACGTTTCCATGACATTCTAATTTATTGAGATGCACCTGTGTGTATATATATATGTATAGCCCGTGATTTACTCACCCTCAAGGCAGCCTAGGTGTATATAACTGCCTGAAATAAGGCAGGCGAAATCTCTTAATATTTTTAAATCTCGCCTTAAAACAAATTTCTTTAGGGTAGCTGTTACTTGAATTTTTATATAAATTTTATATTATTCTTATTTTTAAGTGTTTTGAATGCATGTTTCCTTTTTTGCTTATTTTATCATTTTTATATGGTGTATACGCTATAGAAAAAAACGATGATTATTATTATTATTATTATTCTTTCAGATGAATCCAATCGGAGTAATATTAAAAATGGTCCTTGCTCTTCCAAGCTTTAGAGGCGGGTGTTTTTTTCAACAGTCCAAAAGTAGTCAAATAAAGCGCATCCATCCATAATAAAACATGCCTCACACGGCTCCGGGGGGTGA